TCATAATATGACATCTAAGCCTTCTTTCCACCCCCATCTCTCTGCGGCTGTAAGTGCTATGACAATGCACGTCATGTGGCTCAGTCCTCTCATCACATGGGGATCTTTAGACCACTGCTCACCCAAGCACTGGACTCTATTCAGGTACAAGGAGATGGAGAAGGGGCAAGGTACTCATTGATCCTATGAGAAATCTGTTAGACTGGCAGGTTTTCAGTTCCAGGGCACAGCTGCCCAGACAGGCTTTCCTGAAGCGGTTCTGGAGCCATCTAGGCCTCGCCAGGAGACAGCGTTCCTCTCCCTGGAACAGACCTACCAGTGCTGGGCATTCTCTCCTGGAATGTGGCTAGCGGTGGGGAGAGAGGTTCCGAACCAGGGATGCTGATCAGCCAGTGACTTTTCCTATAGCTTCAAAGTGATTTGTGCAGTATATAGATTTGGGAGGATGAGTTCCCTCATCTCCGGGACTTTGGAGCTGTCTCTTCTGGGCTACCCGGCAAGGGAGGTGTAGGCTGGTCAGATTGCATTCAGTGCAATGCTTGGAGAGGTCCTCTGAACTCTCTGGAATGGCTCCTTTTGTTTCTTCTGACTTTTATGTAAATTAATAAGACAAGCTGGCAAGAGGTTTGCTTTTCCTTGGTCACTTACCTAGAAACTTAACAGCATCAAGGGAGGAAAATATGTGATGTATACAACTTTCCTGTTGGGGTGGATCCGGGGGTCCTTTTCCTACATCTCCAGGCAGGCAGGCGACATTGCTAAGGGGAAACCGAGAGTACATTCAGGATGACATGCCATAGTCATTGGAGGGCTCACAAGGAAGCACCACCCTTACCCCTGAGGATGACAGATGGCAAAACTGCAAATATTTCCACAACTTGGAAGGAAGACAAAGTTGTGGCTAATTGAAAGTTGTGGTATACTCCAGAGCGTACTTAGGAGTTTCAAATATGCTTGAAAAATCTGTGTCAGAGAAGGAAGAGGAGGAGCCTTGCAGAACCAGCAGCGTGACATGAATGGAGTGGCCAAAAAGGAACACTCCAGAACAAAGGAGGAACCGGAGAGCCCAGGAGCCACCATGGTAGCCACGAACATTGGCTGAGCAGGGGCGGTGGGCACGCGCTAAAGCTCAGAGCCCCAGTGACCAGTCATGCTCCAGGACCAGCCTGCACGGGGCCCCAGTCTTGAAGGAGTTTCCTGGACTCCAAAAGCCTGAAGTTCTGAGCGACCGGCCAGAACCTGAGTCCTGATGAGGCTTGAATGGGCACTGGCTTCAAGAAGATTCGGTGTTTGCTTTGCTAGAAAGATAATGAGGGTGCTGCCTGCTTTGCTTGCCCAAATTCCAGCACTCCCAGGCCGACTGAGTGCTTTCGCTCTGCGCCCAGACAGCCCAGAGCCACATCTGATCTACTCAGGCCCCCTCCATCTCGATGGTGGTAGTCCCAGAAGCACAGAGGTGAGGCTGGGTGGGCCAGTACGGCCATTTGCATCCTTTGTGCATATTCTTCTCTCTTTTTTAATGTTTATTTATTTTTGAGAGAGAGAGAGAGAGAGAGAGAGAGAGAGAGAGAGAGAGGAAGCGGGGAGGGGCAGAGAGAGAGAGGGAGACACAGAATCCAAAGTAGGCTCCAGGCTCTGAGCTGTCAGCACAGAGCCAGGTGCAGGGTTCGAACCCACGAACCGCAAGATCATGACCTGAGTCGAAGTCAGACACTGAACTGACTGAGCCACCCAGGCGCCCCTCCTTTGTGCAGCTTCAAAGGGAAGGGGAAAGCCGAAACCGTGCCTAGGTTTCAGATTTGGAATCCCTAATGTACAAAAGGCACAAAGCTTCATTGGTGCCACGCTGCCACTCCCAAAGAAGATAAAGAAATGCTCATTGGAGCCGAGAAATAAGATTTAACGCCATTGTATTTATTAGGTTCTGAAACAATACACATTCACATCCTTTTGAATACAGTACATTTGGCACAATAATGTTTACAATGAAATAACACTAATGAATGGCAAGAGATTAAAATTACATCCAGAAAGGAAAAAAATGTACAAATAAAGCATCACAATACAAAAAAACCCCTAAAATTGAGTACATTTTATATTTAGCCAGAATTATTTTGCACATAATTTAAAAAGAGGTAATTTTTTAGCCTTCTTTTTTTTTTTTTTTTTTTTAAAGCAAGAATGCATTTTTTTCACCTTTGGAGGAAAAAACGATGTTTCCACTTCACAAAGTCCATAATGAGAGAACACAGGAGAACAGCTATCCTTCATATATTTTTTGGCATTTTTTTTTTGCACTCAAGAGCTGGATAGATTAGAAAGAAATGTAATAGTGTGTCCGCTTCCTAAGCCTTGTGAAAATTGAAATGAAACAGTGAATACTCGAGGAACACACAAGCTTTTTTCTATAGACGACATGGGATTTGAACCCGCCTGTGAGAGAACTGATCAGCTCCGGCCCCAAGCAGGAGGCATCCCAGCCAGCCCAGCTTCGGTGCTGGAAGGGGGCATCTCTGGGCCAGGCACCCCGTGAATGACTGCCTGGAGCTGCCGGGTGGAATGTATTACTTGACTCTGCAGCCAAAATGCCAGTTGTCCTGTAGGAAGGGCCCGAGCCCTGCTGACATGGGAACGCCACTGGGGCCTTGAAGCAGGCCGCTCGTCTTGCAGGTAGAGCTTGCTTGGCTGTTCCAGGTTCATCATGGTGAAGGAAGCAGAGGAGAAACAGAGCAGTAGTGATGCAGGAGTATGATGGGCAGTATTGTCACGTCTTCTTAAAAACTGAGATGATGCCACCGTGAAGATGTTTCTGTGCTTGTACTCAACTCCGGAAGATAGTCTCTCCCCCAGTACGTCAAGTTACCGAAGAGAAATTAAGTTAATCTGTTCTTCTTCACTTCACTGGTATGCCAAACACACAAACTGATAGAGTAATAGTATTTCTAAGTATCATAAGAACGGATCATAACTACACCTGAGTTTTTCAAAAATAAAAACAAAAGGAAACTGAATGTCATCCTTAGTAATAACAAAGGCTACGGCCAACCAGATGCAAATATGGACACCAACCTTCTATGGGCTCGAGCTGGTCACCGTCCAAGCTTCGAAACCACCATCGAAAACATTCCTTTCGCTTCCCCATCCCTCTCAGGGCATAATAGAGCACAGGAGAACTGTATGTGAGATTTAATGTAGCTTACTATATGTTTACGTCTTTTGAGATAAACCAAAATGAAATAAACAATACAAAGGACTCCTCCCCATCCTTGAAAAAGAAACACACCTTATCTCTTGGTAACTTGAACCAATACGCTTACAGAGTATTGCACCTGGACATTATTATAATTATTCTTTCATAGACTAAAGTTTTATAATATGCCTGAACATGCAGCAGTTGATACCTCTAAGTTCAATGAATTAATTCCACAGGCCTTGCAGCAAACACTATATACAAAAATCTCAAATGTACAAAAGGCAAAAAGCTTCATTAGTGCCACTTTGCCACTCACACGTATCTATATTTAGGGGCAGCTGGGAAATCCGCGTGCAACAGTTGGAATGGATTCCATTCCCTGCTAAAATCAGTTCGGTAAAATAGATAATCAAATAACCTCCGGGAAACATATACACAAAGCCACAGAGAACCCTTGGAAATCAAAGAATGTAACACTGTTAGCATATCTACAGGAGGTAACATCACATCCATGAAATAGTGTCCCACACGAGTTGCCATTTGCATGTCACACAGAAACAAAACTCTGAGCACGTCTCGCCACATTGGCAGTTTGCAGATAAGTTGCTGTTCCGTCTCTGGATTCCCTCCGCATAACCCACGTTTAGCCTCATTCGGCTTTGCTCCGAAAGCAGAGATTTCATATTTAACTTTACATGTTTAACGTCTAAAAAACACAACACAGCAGTACTACCAATTCTTCGTAGAAGTGCGCAAAAGTAACACACCGTTGCAGGAAATAAATAGAGCGTATGCTGGGAACTCAGAACGAAACTGGAAAGAGAATTTGGGAGTGAGTTTTCCTAGAACCTCAGGGTCTTGGCCATTGCTGCGGTGGCCTCTGTGTTCAGGCAGAATTTGAAGAATGAGGAGCATTACTTGTTTTCTTCTCTCTCAATTCATCCAGCCCCCATGTGCCACAAACCACAAAAACGTTAACAGCCTAAACCCTGGACAGTTGGTTTCTCATTGTATAATAGCCCTTTAATATCTACCTGCGTTAATATTGGAATTTATATCATTTGGCCGATTAGAAAGCCAATTTGGTGATATATTCTTCAAATGTTAACCGAGTTCAAAATCCGATTTCTTTTTCTACAAAGAGTGATTTCTTTCACGAGACACATGCTCTCACAACTTTGGCATGCCCAAGAGCTACAACCGAAGCAAGCCAGCGTTGGCCATTCTGCCGAACACGGGCAGCCAACTCATGCATCTCGCGGTGTGCCTCCACCATAGCGCGCCTCAAGGGCACCCACCCCCATGCCAAAGAAGCACCTGTCTCTCCTGGACAGAAGGGCGGAGGGCGGCAGGCTCTCAAAAGTGGGAGCCTCAGAACCGAGGCTCTCAGAAGTGAGAGTGATCGGACCCCTATGTCCAATAGCACGGCCAGGCCCTTCTTGTTTGCTTTTCTTGTTGCTCTTTGAAGTAAAAGAACCGAAGCTGCCTCGCTGCCTCGCTGCCAGGAGCCCCCGAGGAGGGGAAACGGGCTTGCCAACAGACCAAACACGCAGTGTGTCCAGCCGACCGCTGACCCCATGCGATTCTGCATCACTGGTGAGACAAGAACCAAGAGTGCCTTCTGGTCCCCAGGTGGAAGAGGGAGGAGCCCGCCTGGGGTGAGGGAACACAATAAATAGAGGGTAGACGAGGGACTGGGGCTCTGGAGAACAGGAGAGGCAGTTCAAGGCCTTCTGAGCCTCCAGAAATAGGACTCTTCTCGGCACCCTTTCCTGCAGCATCACCAAACTCCACCTGGAACAGCTTCTCAGGGCATCAGGTCTTCGCCAAAGTAGGAGAAGCCTTTGAATTCCTCCTGGTTGATCTGCTTCACGATTGCTTCATCCACGAGCGTGAGGACGGGCTCTTCCCGGGTAAAGTCTTGGTCAAAGTTATTGACGTCTCTTTTGGTTTTCTGTGAGAAGAAAAGAGAAAGCACTGACTCCAGGCTGACCTTCCTCCCGGGGCCCCCCCACAGGGAGTGGGCATCACACCGACCAGCCTCTCACCAAAGCAGGCCTCTAGCTACTGAGAGAAGACACGGGGCTGCTCCAATGAGGTCACGACGGATGGCCCCAGGACCAGGAGGTGGCAGAGGACTTGGAAAGGAAGAATGAGTCCAGGTGAGAGGGAAGAAGGGGTGAGAGGGTATGATGGAAAAGCAGGGAAGTGGGATTCCCACAGACTGCCGTGTGGGGGTGGAGCACGCGTGTTTGGGAGCGTGGGATGCATAGCTCTCATCCCGTACTCCCCCTGCTAATCTAACCCTCTGGCTCCATCGAGACCTCCATCCCTGTGACCCGGGGAACAAACTTGAATCTCTCTCCCATGGAGTCTCCAGTGGTCTTTCTTGTCTCTAGGTAGACCTCCATAACCTTGCCAGGTCTGCTCCATATGACCTCTTCTAAGTAGGAGGATGAGTGGAGTGGGGGCAGGGGACCGTCTTCTGGGAAGCCTGCCTTGATCCCTACCTGCATCCACCACGAACCCTATTTTGTGCTCCTACATTCTTTCCATGATTACACTCAACATGCTGACTTGCAACGAATTGTGGCTATTTGCCTTGACCAAGAGCTCCTTAAAGGCAGGGGCCTTGTCTTACTCAACCTTGGGTTCCCTACAGTAAGCATCTACTGAATGAATGGCCATGTGGAAGAACCCGCCACTGCACTGACTCCCCAGCCCCGAAGGACCCATACCCAGTTAGAGGCTCAAGTTCCCGAAATAGGGCTTATGGTCCATGGGGGATGGAGAGCAGCAAACAAACAAATCCTGGCTTTTGGAGAAAAATCTGGAAGTGTAAATAATATTCTCTCTGCCTTTCAGGACTTCCAGTTGATCTGGGAGCCAGTACTACTGTCTAGAACACATGCTGCAGTAGTTAGAAAAACTTCCATGGAGAAGTCGAGACTTGGCTGGGACCTGAAGAATGAATTACGGTTGTGTTGGCAGAGAGGGGAAGAAGTCACCTCGGCAGGGAGAGGTGGGACAAAGATGGTGGGTGGGGAGGTGGGAACACGGAAGATGTAGAACAGGGTTCACTGAGTTGCCCGGGGTGGAGTCCAGCATGGGGATGGAGGGAGGCAGAGTGAGTCCGACTGCGGAGGCCTTCAACGCCCGCCCCCCTCGCCCTGCACTACATGGCACAATGCCCAGAGGATTGAAGGAGCTCTGGCAATATCCTTTCAGGTGCTGATTAACTGGTGTTACCCAGGATTAGTGACCTGGATGATGGAATAAATCTTGTGGAAAGATTAGCATTATTATTTGTAGGAGGAATATTAATTAATATAAGCTTTGTTCTGTGGAAGCTAGTAACCTAAAAGATGTTAATAATACTCTATGAAAAAGGTGGTTTAGAGACAAAGCTATTTTTGCACCCTGCTCTTGGAGGTTTGCCACATACAGTGGCAAATTAAAGGCTCTGAGATGTCATAGGGTCAAGAAACCTGGTTCACTTTGTTTAGAACAGCCTTCCTCAAACTTGACGTGAAAATTTCTTTTTCCTGAATAGCTTTAAAAAATTTAATTATTTTGAGAGAGAGAGAGAGAGAGTGCACATGTGCAGGGGAAGGGCAGAAAGAAAGAAAGAGAGAGAGAGAGAGACAGACAGACAGACAGACAGAGAGACAGAGAGAGAGAATCCCAAGCAGATTCTGTGCTGTCAGCACAGAGCCTGACTCGAGTCTCAATCCCATTAACCGTGAGATCATGACTGGAGCTGAAATCGAGAGTGAGACGCTCAACCGACTGAGGCCCCCCCACCCCACCTCAGGCACCCCTTTCCTGAATAGCTTAACATCCGTCTCAGATGCAGAGTTCTGCAGGACACGGTTTGGGAACTGTGGTTTTATAGTTTATAAAGCACCTGCCCATTTGTTTCCTTATTTGATCCTTAGAACAGGCAGATACTATTACCCTGATTTTACAGATGGAGACACTGTGGCTCAAAGAGATTTGGTAACCAGGGTCACCCAACTAGTTAAGAGCAGAGTTGGATTCAAATCCAGATCCCTGCATGATGCTGCTTGCATAGAATGTCTAGAAAGCTGGACACTGGAGAAATGGAAAGATGTGGCAAGGATCAAAGTCCACCCAGAGACATTCAGGCCAGACTGCTAGGCCTGGAGCCAGAAGGGCTTGCCAGTGGGTGAGTGCGGCAGGAGAAGCTGTGGGTCGGGGTGAGAGTGGGTAACCTGTACTGGGCGAGCTTGGCTGGGGGGAGGGGGCATGTGTTCAGACCATCCCAGGCTGAGATCAGAATCAGGAGGATAGCATACAGCAGGGATGACTGGATCTTTCGGCCACATCAGTCCTGCTTCGTGTATTTTCTCTGGGCTTGAGCTGCATAGTTGAGTGGGTCTCGGACACCTCAGAAGGGAGACAGAAGAGAGATACAGAAAATCCAAGGGATGGAAACAGGACCTGAAGGATGTGTGTGTTGCCCTTGGGATGAGGAACATTGAGAAATCTGGAACTGCTCGGGCACTGGCCTTCCCTGTCTGCTTACTTGTTTATGCTTCACCTTTTCAGTCATTAGTGTCCATGGAAACTGGCTTCATTGCCTGAGGTCGGCTGAGCATAGTGACGGAGCTAGATTCCACAGGACGTCTGAATTTCATCACTCACTGACTGTGTACCAGGCAACCAGGTTCGGTCAGCACAGCAAGGGATGTCCTTCCCAGAGGACCTCTAGCTCCATTTCATGCTATTTTGGGGCACCACCAAGTCAGCTTTGGGCTCTCCAGGGGTCACAGAATCATGGGTGGCATTTCAGTGAATGGGTGCCATTCTTTAAGAGCTCTAGAGAAAGACATACTTGCCTTGTTCGCTCCCTTATCCAAACTGGCCCAGGCCCTGGTTTCCTTGGAAACATTTTGAATGCAGGTCAGTTACTCATTTCCAATTCAAGAAGCCAAGATCCCCACTATGTGCAATTCCTGACCATTAACCTTAGAGACTTGAGAAGTTTTCCAAAGCAAATATCTCTGGGAAACACCACTCCCTATTAACAGCACGTAGACAGCATAGCATCCTCAATGTGGAGGGGATTGGGCATTATATCCTTTATTCACCGATTTTATTCTTTGAAAAGCTGGGGCCTCCCTGTGAGTGAGCATAAGACTCAACTCCAAGGTTCAGATGGACAACTCCCCAGAGACATTCCCCGTTGACCTAGATCCTCAGTCTTCCCATATGCCTCCCCTAGAGTCTAAATGTTAGACTCTTAGCCCACAGTGTGGAGCCTGAGAGGTGACCCTGGGACCTCTTCAGTCTTTATCTCCTTCATGAAGCCCATCCTACATGCTTGTCCCACACTTAGCGGGGCGACACGGAGGAGGACAGAGAGCACTAGCTGACCTCTTATCTTGGTACTGCCCCTTCCTGGCTATATGACACTGTGAGGTCACTCTCTGAGATTTAGTTTTTTCATCTGTAAAATGGGGGTAGTGACAGGCACTCTATAGATTGCCTTGAGGACTCAATGAGACATCAGATGTTAGGTGCCTCAGTGCAGACTCCAACATGTAATGGGCACCCAATAAATGCACCTCCAAGTTTTAGCACCTGTGTGCCACGGGCACACATCATAGACAGCTTGGTTGCTACCCAACACAGTCTGTGTGACCTGCCCATTGATGCCATGAGCTTCTCGAAGGAGGGACTGAGTCTCACGTTTATCTGTATGCCTCCAAATGCTGAATGAGTGCAGAGCTAGGGTCTACCTGAACATCCCAGTGCTTTGTCCAGAGATTGAGATTCTTCCAATGGCACCTGACTGCCCTTGGGAAAAGTCCCAGGGTCTTACAGTCCTCTACTTCTAAGGCCCTTCAGGGTCTTATCCCCACATAGCTCCCCACTGCTTCTGGGCCCTGCTGGACCATGAGGTTCTCTGGACTCACTGGCTTCCCCTGACTCCAAGCCTGTGCCTGGAACCCCCTCTCCCACCCCTGCCTCTGTCCCATGTCCTCATCACCCAGCTGAATTGCTCACCCTTCCCAACCAGGCTTAGATGGCCTTCCTTCAAGCAGCCTTCCTGTCCTTCCACCCCTCTTATGGGTGCTCCATCATCTCTCTTTTTTTTTTTTTTTTTTTATGAAAGAGCAAGAGAGTGAGTGAGTGCACTAAAGCAGGAAAGAAGGGCAGAGGGAGAGATAGAATCCTAAGCAGGCTCCACGCTCAGCACGGAGCCCGACACAGGTCTGAATCCTACGACACTGGGATCACGACCTGAGCAGAAACCAAGAGTCAGATGCTCAACCGACTGCGCCACCCAGGAGCCCTCTCCTGCCTTATCACAGCCCTGATCACACACATCCTCCACCTTTCCACTAATCTGTGAGTTTGTTGGGGATGGGGACTGGGTTGAACTCACATCCCATCCCCATCCTAGTGCACTGCCTGGCACACAGTGAGTGCTCAATAAATAGCTGCTGAGAAATGAGTGAATGTACTGCTCTTGCTTCTACTGTATCCAGAGCCAGGTAAGTGCTCTGGCTTCAGGACCACTGGCAGCTGTTCTACCAGATGGGCTTTTCACGTCGGGGGGGGGGGGCAGGTGACGTGGCGAGATGGCTGAGGTCTGATCTGTGAGGGGCCTAGCGAGGGGCAGCCCAGAGAAACAGGCAGACTTAGGCCTACTTCATGGGGTTTCCTCTCTGAGCAGCAGTCAGCTTGGGGCACTGGGGTTCCCTGATTGCTGGCAGGAGACCAACACAAACAGGTTCAACCAGGGTTTGGGAAAATTCCATCAAAGACAGATGGGCTAAGGGGACTTTATGACACTAACCCTTGTGGCTGATGTTAGAGGAAAATGACACTCCCCTTCCCTCTGGCATCCCTTCCGAGAGAGAGATAAGGTCTGGGATTTGAGAGGTCCGGGGCTGACTCTGGGGCAAGGGCCTACCTTTGGTA